GTATAAGAGTGCTGTCCAGAACGGTGAGTCCAACTAGCTCTTCCTTGTTCACGCAAAGCAGAGAAGGCCAATGTGTCCTTTTGAGAGCCGCCTCCCCTCACCAAAGCTTGCACGCAAAGGCATACCGTTTCGCGCAACTGACAGATGTTCACATCGAGCCGTTCTACAACCCAGAGCCACAGGTAGTTTGTGGAAGATGTTTCCTTTTCTGTACCCGAGGCAACCACCAAAAATCCACATGGGTGGTTGTCAAAATTATAGTCCCTTTTTGGATCCCTATTATAATACGGAACCTAATATTTAGGGTACCCAAAAAGGAATCATAATGTTGACATCCACCCACATGTCTTAAAGGAATCACCATAGACCCAGGTGCCTGTATAGCGCCGCAATGCCTTACACCCTAACCCTTAGGGTCAAAGTACCTAATAAACATATACTTGCCCCAAGCCTATACTATAATTATATAGTTCGAAATACAAGTACCTGGACCTTCCTGGGTAAACCCCTAAACCCTAAACCTTAAACCCTAAACCCTAAACCCCAGCGGAAACCTCCCAAGGAGTGGGGCCACCAGAAGGGGGATGTCTGCCGCGTTCCGGAAGCTTTCAACAAGTCAGCCTGCATCCCTTTTCAAGTGGAGCCCGAAGCAGCTGGGTACCTAATATTAGGGCCTCAATAGTTACCAATATGGTGGTTCCATGTTTTACATATATATATATATACTTCTGGTATATGGTACCTCAAGTGGACCTCAAAATGATGTAGGTCATTATTTCTCTACGGTTAAAACCATGGGCCCTTAGTATGGGCCCTTGACCCTGGGATCCTTATATACCTACTATATACACTATATGTACCCTTAAGGATCCCTAAAATGCCTAAGGGCCCATATTAGGGGCCCATACTTGGAACCTTAGAATTTAGGCCCCTGTACGTAGTGCGAGCCTTTAGGCCTTACAGTCTGCCAACATGGAGTTTATGGGCCTCGTTCATCCATGGAAACTGGATGAAGGTATGTGTGGCGATATGTGTGACTCCCCCAAAAGAGCCAGAATTTAACCTGAAAGGTCCGATGCCCGTTTGAGAGAAGAATGGTTTTCAGAGAGCCCCCCGCCCAGGGAGCTTGAAAGATGCAAACACTATAAACCCAAACTGGAAAGCCCGCTTATATACCCCCATGCATATATTCTGTCCCTCGAAAAAGGACTTGGACCTCGAGCTGTTATCCCAAGGGCTTGAGCCATAAAAAATTAAATCTTGTTCACAAGCCAGGGCTTGACGTTGTATCTGGGAGAGGGAGCTGGTGATTTTCCGTCTCATTATTTACGAACTCAAATTCGGATTGTCGCTAAACCCGAACCCTACACTGAAACCCTCAATCACCAAGACCCCCTCATACCCCGCGTGCAGTTCCGAGATACCTGCCAAGAGGACCACGTAGATCCGGTGGAAGGGTACCTGGGGTGTCCTGCCCTAAGGGTCCAATTACCTAATAATCCTATACTTACTATAATTATTATTACCCAAATCCCAAGTATAATTATTGGGTACATGGACCCTTAGGGCTGGTATGTTGTCAATCCAAGGCAGAGACCTACCCACTGGGAAGGCTGCGTCAAACGCCCGTTTAGCAACATCATGTCAGTTTTTGCTTGCGATACCTTACCTGAAACTGTAGCCCGAGTTGGTACCTCATAGCGGCCGCTTCAACAAGAGGTTAGTCTGCACAGGGGCCCGTTTTTCAGGTTTCGTGTTATTTGGGGAGTGTTTGTCACCCTTATAAGGCGTTTTAAGTTTATACAGTCAAACTCATTGTCTCCTTCATTTGCTGAATTGTATTTTTCTCTAAAAAAGGGGGACCCCATATAGACCCCGCAATACTAGAATCCTTAGTGTAGGCAACCCTGGAGAGGTTCCCCTGAATTTGGGAAACCCTAAACCCTGTGTATCCTTGTATAACCCCTATAAGCTCCTGCAAAGGCACCCTCTAATTTGGGGAAACCCTAAACCCTAAACCCCCAAATATCTCCTGAAGAGGCTGAACTGTGACCCTCCAGTGGCGTTGCTCAGGTTGGTGCGGCTCAAAAGCGGCTGTTTGGGGTCGAGGGTGCAAGGGTTTAGGGTAAACGGATTCCTGCTTTGGGTTTTGGGTAAAAAGGGCATACCTGTAACCCCAGTTACGGAATTGTTTTAGGGTCCGGATTTAGTGAAAAGGGTACAAAAGTTCCGGATTTAGGGCCAGAAAGGGGCCTACCTGTAACCTCAATTACCTACAGCTTAGTATGTAGTAAGTTCCCTTCGTTCATAGGTACAGACCCTTAGACATGTAGCTAATTGGGGTTACAGGGTACTAGATCATTGGTGTGGGGTTTCCAAACATTTGGGGTAGGTTTTGGGGCATCGACATAGTAAGGATGATGCTCTAGTAGGATGTTGTTTTGCGGCCCTCGATTTATGAGCTAAAGCTTCAATTTTACGCAGGCCCAACAAGCGAAGTGCAACTTCCAGCTTTTAATGCTTTCCCAAAGAGAGGAGATTAGGGTTCAGGGTGGGTCTTATCAACATTTGGGAGCTTACATTTATGGATGACTGTGTCTTGTTTATTGGCCTCCTAGGGCCCCTGTTACCTTTGAACATGCCATATCACACCCTTAAGTTGAATAAAACATTGCTTTTCAACAAGTTCATGCTCGAGCGTCAAGCCCTTCCTGCCAAATCCAAAACTGCTGTCCGAACATTCCGCTTGGCTCGGGAGTTACGGTTCATGCAGATTGTGCTTCCCACGAGCAAAAGAAGACAAAAGCCAGTATGATCCGTGCGAGGGCTATGAAATGATCGCAACCGGGATTTCTTCATACTTCGTGGGTGACGCTGGAGGCTATATGAGCTATAATCTAAACTCCTTAAAGGGGGTTATTTAGGGGATTATATAGGGGACTACTATAGGGGATATTAAGGGGGATACTAGGAGTTTAGACAATGGCTCCTATGCTGAGACAGAACATAGCATTGGCTACAACCCCATAGCCTGATCGCTGAGTCCAGGCTGCGGTACAAGCATCCCAAGGGCTCCAAGTAGGTACACTCCCGGAAACTAACATGGAAACCCAAAAGGGGCCCTATGAAGACTGCAGTCCCTCTAAAAGGGGGCTATGTGGGTTTCCATGTTAGTTTGGGGGAGTGTACATTTTCCTTAATTTTGGGCCCAAAGCTGGGTAGGCCTCTGGGATATTTAATACTTTCCCTAATGGCTTTAATAGGGGACCCTATACATAAATATGTTTCAAAGGGCTTTAGGGGCCAACCCAGAATGTAAGTAGTATTCATAGACCTGGAGCCCCAGGGTAGGGCGTCCTTCTTCAGTAAACCTGGATGAGCTGGATCTGTCAGTTATGAACTGAACAAGCTTCCCCAGAGGGTCCAAGTACCCAATAATTAGGTACTTGGGTTTGGGATAATAATAATTTTAGTATGGGTTTTGGGTAAGTATATGATTATTGGGTACTTGGACCCTTAGGCTTCTAGCTCAGGTCTGGGGCACAACCACCCCGGAAGCCAATGTCCCCAAGCTCTAAAGTTCGCAGTAGCCCCAAATCCACTTCAGCCATTCATGGCAGTTTCTACATCCATGAAGAACACTGCAGCTACATGATACGCGTACACACGCGTGTATGTATATATATATGTGTGTATATATATATGTATATATGTGTATATATATATATATGTAAGTATGTACATATATATATATGTGTGTGTGTATGTATATATATATATACACATATTGCTTCGTCTTCAAAAAGCGAAGTTCTCAAAACTTGCGCCAGGTCGGTGCTTGAGCACATGGCCCGCGTGAGCAAACATGACAAACCCGACTTTGCGCCTGGGTGGGTTCCCCCTGTATCCCTAAGGGTCCATGTACCCAATATCTAGGTACTTGGGATATTGGTAATAGTAATTATAGTACAGATTTGGGGCAAGTATATGAATATTTGGTACTTGGACCGTGGAATGTTAGGGTATGAGCACTTGTTTTTCTTGTTCTTGGTTGGGGACCGTCCCCAAATCATACCGTTTATACAAGGGGGAACATTCATCTTCAGGGGTGGGGGGCAGTATTATTAGGGTGGCGGTCCTAGGTTCCGCCCTTTCTTTCCAAAGCTACCATTGGTCTAGGTGCTCTTCACTGGAGATATCCCGAGCCACCAGCTGCAGCTTGGCCTCAAAAGCTTCGGACTTATGATTTCGAGTGTAGGATTTAAGGTATAGCGGCTAATGGTTTTTGAATTTGGGATTTGGGTTCCGACAAGCAGTTGGGTCTATTCTTGCTGAAGTTGGGAGAAGGTTCCAGGGCTTGGGAATTGGGGGTCAGGGTTGGTTAACGCTAGAAGGGGGGGGGGGGTCATGATCAAACTGTTCATATGACCAAGCAGAATCCGCAAGCTTTTGAAGCAGCATATGCATCTTGTTTTAAGGGAGCAGCGGAAATCAACAGACCTCAGATGTCAGAAGCTGTTTTTGCCAACACGGGCCCTTATGAAAATTGATTAGCTTCCGCTTCCTACCTGCAGTTCTAAAGATGATTCCTCCGTCTTACCAGTAGTATAATTTTATTGGCATTCCTACTTTGCCGGAGATCCGAGTGACACTCCCAAGCAACATCGAACCCCACACAGGATCCTCTGAAGAGCACGGAGGCTCTTTTTGGCTTTTCTGTGTTAGTTGTTGAGATGCTGCTTCTGAGCGCGTGCGTCAAGAGCCGTTGAGGTCGTGCCAGTTCCACCAGGCACGCACGATCGAGTCGCGGATGTATTAGATGACTTTCGATGCTTCTTGAAGTAGAAAGAGCCCACCAAGTAGCACAGCACCTGTGGCTTTCCAGTCTGGAAAGGGCTTAGGGTTTAGCATGTTATTAAGAGGTAATTATGAAGATAGGAAGTATGGAGCTCCCATGGCAGCTTTGCTTGATTCGAATGGCTAAGGAACTGGTGATACAGATGATGGCGAAGGGAATGAAATCAGTGGCGCCCAAATGGTATCCGGCCATGGGCAACAACGATTACTTCCCGCTCCTGGGCTTCAATTATTTGGCACGGGTTCCCCTACTACCCCCGGCCCTAAACCCTGAACCCTAAACCCTAACCCCTAAACCTGACTATTGTTTCAAGGAACTACAACGTCTCCTTGGAGCCTGGAAGCCCGTGGCAAGAATATGTTGCCAGCCTCTATGCACGCGACTGGCTTGCTCTTGAGGAACTTTAAATAAGTTAACGTACTGGGAATATATATACATATATGTATATATATATATATACACCCATTTTTTTTTAGGAATTAGTGGGTTTTCCCCAATATATATAGTAACTTAAATTAAGGTCCTTAACAACAATGCAGGCGAAGGCGTCCTCAGTGGCGAGCAGCTGAGGACGTTTGCTGCAGGCCAGACGTGTAGATATGGGCATCAGGTTACAGGTTCGGAGTTTACTGGGTTGCTGTTAAGG